AAGTATTTACTTATTCTTACTATTTAAAACTGGGACTTTAAATAGTTTAAATAATAACTATATTAGCTGTTACATCAAAGTGACGGTTTTAGAATACCAGGAAACAACATACAAGAGTATTCTAACAGCGGTGCAGGTGATGATCTTTCTGTTTTACTGAAAAATGTTCATTTGCAACTGAGCTTCTGGGACATTTCTCTTAAACAGCCTATTTGTGGCTTGGGAACATTTTTCTTTTCTAACATGGCTTTTTTTTTTTCTTTTTGAGGTTTCACATTTTAATGGGCTTTTGTCTTGTTTTTATTCTCCATAGCATTTATTTATTTCCTTGGCTATGATTTACCTATTATTTTGTAAGAATTTGCTCAATTTTCCTTCCCTCAAAGTAGTCTTCTCTTATCCAGAAATTTGATCAACTAGAATATCAGTTTCAAAATTTATGAAAGCTGAAATTTTATCTTCTTAGTCTTTTTCTGTCAACTGGCCTTTCATTCAAGTTTTAGTAACTTATTAGTCAACAAAAAGATGTATACGTATTTTTCCCCATCTAGTCCAGCTTGGCTCTGAAAATAAGAACTTCTTCCTACAGATACTAAATTCAGACTTTTAATTTCCGTTACCTCTTTCTTGATCTAATTCAAAACAAAAATGGCAGGATTTTAAGTCCTAGAAAACTACTGCACTTACTATTTGACTTGAAGATAACATTTACTTTTTTTTCCAACTAAAAAGAATAAAAAGATTCATATTTTGTAGAGCAATTTAAGTTTCTGATTCATTAGGCCTAAACATTTTGGACCACTTCATTTTCCATACCAAACCCTAAACATTTTACACAGTTTACCCAGATTTACATATCATATCTATCTGGAGACTATAAGTGCTAGAAAGTCAAATTCATTCTGAACTCTGTAGAGGAGGGCAGATCTGCTTTTTATCTGACAAACTGGTATTAATTTAATAATCTTATTTGTCCCAAAGAAAGAAAAGAATATAAACCAGTATCTAAACATTTTTTGTTTTTGTTAAATCCAATAAATCCAATTAAGGATAACAGAGGTAAAGGATAGACAGAGTGACCGACCTTATTAAAAACTCTTTAATTTGCCAAATATTCAAGGTGTTCTCTTCCTAGCATTCAAATAACTGAAAATACATTCTTTATACCTTAAAAAGACCTTCATGTTTATGTCAATAATCAGCAATTCTAGATCTTCAGAAAGTTAAAAGCTCCAAGGGGAAAAAAAAACACCTCAGAGATCCAATCACACAGTTACAAGGACTAGCTTGAGATGGGTAGACACCAGATCTGAACACGGGTCTCTCTGATCTAGGCGGTCTTCCTTCATCGTGTGCTTCCCACCGCTGCTGCTTCACACTTGAGAAAGTGACAAAGCATAGTGAGGAAAACATCAGCACAGGTGTCCCTTGTTTAATGACCTACTGATTAACCATTTTGCAGACTTGTGTCCCAGGCACACTCTTCAGGTCAATGACCCGCGCTCAGACTTACCAAAGGCACCGGGGCCGCAATGTGGCCTCATGATGGCTTGTTCTACAGTAAGCACTGTGATTTTTGCTGACTGCATGGTACAGTACAGTGTATGGACATATTCTGTTGGGCATTACAGCACTGCATGTAGGAGTTATGCAAATAAAAGCAAAGTCATCAAGCTGCTGCTTCCTTTGATCATTCGTTAGAATATTGTAATGCACATAATGTAACTCGGTCATTAAGCGAGGAAGGCTGCATGTTACAAACTCAGTGTTATCAGCTATGCTTTCAGAATCTTAAATTTTGTGTCTAACTTATTTCACTTAATGATATGTCTTCAAGTTGCATTCATTTGCCTGAAAATGCCTCTAATTTGTCTTCCTTTACGGCAGGGTAGAACAGTACTGCATTGTGTATCAATAACACATGTTCATTATCTGCTGATAGGCACATATGCAGTTTCCAAGATCTAGCTATTAAAAATTGTGCTGTTGTAAACATAGGTGTGCACGTATCTCTGTAGTAGGGTGCCTTTAACTATTTCAGGAAGAAAACGGTAGCTGGATCAAATAAAATTTCTATTTTTAAATTTTTTTAGCTTTTTAATATTAACTGACTCTTTTCAAAGTTGACTGAACTTCAAATTAGGTCAATCCACCTTCTACTTTCTTTCCTAGCTCTGTTCTGTTGAAATACAAATTATAAAATCTCTCCCATTACCTGAAATATAACAACCCTATCACCCCATGTTATGGATTACGAACTGGTGGTCAACTTAATGCCAGCTGGATTACATCAGCATGGCACTGAGCAAAGATGCTCCACCTGAGGAAAGTTGCCAGCATAAATAGAGAGGTGGAGAAGGAGAAGGAAGGCAGTAATGTGTTGAGGCATTGAGGCATTGTGGGTTCTCCTGTGAGTTGCTGTTTGAGCCGTTGGTTCTCCTGGAGAAGCTCTGGTCCTCACATCGAGCATTGCTTCCTGCTCCACAGGGGAAGATGTGTGCCACTTGGTCTCTAGGATGAATTCGTCACACTGGTTTCCTGGCATATACCTGACTATGCTTGTCAGAGGAGGAGTTCAGGACCTCCAAGGTGCTGAGGATGGCTGTGGTGCATTTCAGGACAGCCCTGGTCTTTGTTGAGTGTGACTTCTTGGCTGCAGCGTAGAACCCTCATCCCACCAGCACAGCTCTTTCACCCCCACTGGCATGGTCTTCCTAGCTTCCAGCGCTGACCTTTGGGCCTTCCCGGCACAGATCCATAAAAGAGTCTGGTGTGAGTCCTTCTTGTGGGCTCTGGACCTCCAGTTGGATGCGTGGGAGGCATTGTCATGAGCTCTGGGTTTTCATCAGGACTCATGTGGGACATTGCTGTGGGATTTAGGCCCTTGACTAAACATCCTATGTCTTTGGTGTTGTGGATAGATTTCCTGCATTTTCTTGTGTTAATTCCCAGTGACCATTATAAAAATAATATTATAAATTCCATGTTCTGATTCTAATAGCTTTCTGCACAACCCCTATGCACCCCACAAATGGGTGTGATCCGTACAGCTTATGTGCTACAGTATCATTTTTTCAAGTTAACAATTTTCCATTGATAAATCTGTACCCATCTGAGGGAAGAAAATCTGTCATACTATGGATTGCGCTAAGGAAATCACATTTTGGAATTACTTGTTCCCACAACAGTTCCACAGTTTTGCCTGATTACTATGTTGGCTTATGCTTGGAACCACACGATTAAACCCTAATGTTTATAGTCCTTTTGTTTTTATTTTATTTCTCTGGACTGCCCATAATCCCTCCAAATCCTTTCAGCCAGGACAATTTTACCAGCTGTGATAATGCTGCTCCAGCCCTCAGGTTTTATGGGGGGTGTCGCCCTATTCCACGGGCTTGGCACATTTGCGCTCTATCACCAAGCGCAAGTTTTCTCAGCAGGCCTTGCAGTCTGACAGCCGTGAACCGCAAGCACTGAACTATTGTTCCTACCCAGTTCACCCTAAACCTTGTGCCCTACACGTAATCATCTGCTTTGTCAGACAGGAAAATTTCGAACATGAGCAAAATGTAGGTCCACTCATCTTTGCCTTTCATCTTACATCTAGAATAAGGCATAACCATTACTCCACAATATTGAACAATATTTATGATAAAGATATCCTTTTCAAATACCCTAAATCAATTTCTGAAGTAAAAGCATGCACCGCATTTCTTTTTTTTTTTTTTTTATTACTCCTTAGTGCTTATTACTTTTTTGGGGGGGAGAGAATACAGTCATATATGGCAAAACAGAGCTGTCAGTCAAAACCAAGGATAGACATAGCACATGGTGTAGAACAGAGTACAAGGCTATCAACAATGGTTATCAACGTTGTCTCTTGTTTCCTTAAAAAGAATTGTCTATCTCATTAGATATTATAAAGTTGAACAAAACAGTAGAGAACAAGACCAATAAAACTTAAGCATTGTAAACATTACAGGACTTCCAAAGAAGACAATAGTCAAACCAGAATGGGTATCTTAGTGAATCTTATTGCCTTCAAAGTAGTTGCCTAGATCCTCAAACTTGATACTATCATACAGAATGGAACAGAGTCTAATCAGTCAAAACAAGATCGTGGGAGTATTACAGGACTATAGAAAGATAACTTTTTCTTTCAGGAAAGTAACCATCAAGCCACCGCCTCAACAAAATATCTGAAATTTAATTCAAGTTATAAAAGTCAAAAACTCAAAGCATCAGCAGAAAAACTGTTGATGCATTTAAGCGTCACATTTCAATAAAGGCCTTCAGACATTAAAGACACAACAGCAGCTGCTACTCCAGGTTGACTATAACTCAACAAAAGCACCCGGAAATGAGCTACCACGTTGTCATGGCGGACAAACCACAGCACCTGGGAAAGCAATGCTGGTGCCAGATGACGGGGCCTACACTTTCCAGGTTGCTGCACCCTTGTCCTTGACCTGAGCTTCAGGGCCACAGCTCCCCTGATACTCAGGGGACGTCCTTCACGGTGGCAGAATTCTGGGGCCCTGGCCCAGGGCCCATAAAACACGAGATCGGATGACCTCAGAGTCCTAGGAACACATGCTTGGCAGGACGCTCAAATCCAGGAACTTTAAAGAAATAAGAGGTCACTGAGGCCTGTAATCCAAACATACTTCTCGGAGGCTCCTGGTCAAACTGTGTAGGATAGGAAACAGGGCCAAGAAGATAATTAAAATAATTGAAAATTTTAGGACATCTTTGAATGCAATTAGTAAGAAGTTAAAATGCTTCTGATATTGTCTAGGAATCAACGGTGCTACATGGTTTCTTTTAGCCTGCCTTCTCTCTTCTAAATCTACACAAGAACATTCCAGAATCAAAATGATTTTAATGCTCAAGCAGCTAATCACGCGTTAACAAAGCCTCTGCCATTTGGAGGGTGAGGTCCTGCAGCCCTTGAGGTCCCACTGAGAGACTCCCACCCTGGATCCTCTAACCAGGCATTTATGAATCCTGGACCCACCTAACTTCTGAGACTTGAAAGCCACAAGGTCACCCTGGAGTTCATCCTTAGAACTGGAATAACAGTTTCTATTTCATCTTGAAAACGTGGCAATCTTGGCATGAAAACTTCAGTGCAGTGTAAGTTAACAGCAACTTTGGGCAAGATCCAAAAGAGCGCCCCAGCTTAGGGGTGAGGAGCAGGCTGCAAGCGGCAGCCGGTCTCTGCTTTCTGTCTGTCTGCTGCCTGCTCCAGACCCTTCCCCTGGCGCCTCCTTCTCCCGCTTGTTCCTCACCCTCCAGGTTGCTTCCCACCCTGTGCAATCTCTTCCACGCGCCCGTGGGTGTGGCAGGACGTGCTCTTCAGTGCTCCACAGCTGCCTGGGAGGAGCTGGGGTGCGCGTCTGCCTCCCCGCTCCTGGCTGGGCAGCCCTGGAGGCTGGGGCGTCAGGGGAAGTCGGGGAGTCACGTCCAGCACTGAGCATTTGTTCTGAATTCCTTAGTCAGAAGATGTTATAATTTCATAACGAAAATGTGAATGCTTCGTTTGAAGGCTAGAGCAAGCTCCATATGAGACTTGCTATGAGGAATTTTTATTCTTTCTGCCCCCAAATCCTCTTATCTGGAGCAAGACAAAATATTAGGTCATGTTTGAAAAGTAGTAGTAGAGAGGTCTTCTACGCAAGCCTACACAGTGAAGCCCTGGGTAAGTAAAAAGCCCCCGTGCCTTTTAAAATCATATTAATCACATCACACTTAGATTCTGAATGCATTAAAGTAGAACAGACCTTTCATACACTTTTTCACAGATTTCTTCCTCTGGAAAATCATTGTTATTGTGAACTAAAACAATACTTGTATTCTTGTACACCATAGGGAAAAAAATCATTTCTTTTAAAAAATTTAATTGTATGTATTCTCAATTGATACACAATACTTATATATATTTCTTTAAATGCATATATCTGAGGTGTAATGGTCAGATCAGGATAGTTGACAAATCCATTAAACAAAACATTTACCATTTCTTTGTGTTGGGAGGCCTCAAAATCCTCTCTACTAGCTATTTTGAGTCACAGTATGCAGTTAGTTCCTGCCAGCCATAGCTGTCCTGTGCTACAGAGGATGCGGGGAGTTACTCCTCCTCTCCAGCTGAGCCCTGGGACCAAGCACGCCCCAGGGCCTGCCTACACCTTCCCAGGCTTGCTCCCCGTTCTCAAGCTTCGCCTCTCTGTATCTACAAGATCAACGTTCCAGCTTCCATGAGTGAGCGTATCAAGTATTTGTCATCTTGTGTCTGATTGTCCTACTTACACAGTGTTCTTCAATTCCACCCAGCTTGCTGCAAAAATTTTTTTTATGGTAGAGACACGTTTTACCATATCTCTGTCTCTGTCTGTCTGTCTCTCTCCATATATATATATATATATATATATATATATACATATATTTCTTTATCCATTCATCTATTAACAGACACTCGATTTCATTCTATATCATAGTGATGAGAAACCTTTCTTGGGGGCTGGGGGTTTCGCTCAGCACCCTAAGTGCCTGCCTGGCAAGTGTGAGGTTGTGAGTTTGATCCCTGGTACCAAAAAAAAGAAACACTTTCTTAAACCAACTTATCAAACTTTATTAAATGTTGGGGTCTGTAAGTAAGCCCCCAACCCCTCAAACAAATGCACAGTGAAGGCTCAAAGGAATGAGACACATGGCCTGGTCTTTAGGGCTGAGGAGGATTGAGATCCTCAGCAGAGCTGTCTCTGCTAGCCGGCAGCCGACTGAGCCTGGGTGGCCCGTATTTAATCAGAACAAGCAAGGAGTCCAGTGGACAACGGAGGAAACCTGAGCAGGATCTTGGGAGGGGGTCAAGGACCTCTCAGAGCAACAGACGATGCTGGTTAAGGAAAACTATCCAGAAGGCTCCAGGGGGCCCCAACTGTGGCCTATCTTGCCTGGGCCAGACCACAGCCCTGCACGTGTTCTCAACTTCAACACTTTCCAACAATTAAAAATATCACAGACTTTGTTGTATACCTTATTTATTCCAGTATCTCCAACCTAGAAAGTGAAAATATATATACCAATTGTGTTTAAATGAATTACAATTTATTTGATATATCACAATCAGTAAGAGATTAATTTCAAATATTGAAATTCAAATATGGTAAGTATTTGAGATGATGGATATTACCTTCATTTAATCATTCCTCATATCTGTAAACCTTGGATCACTTTGTACTCCATAAAATATGCAACTGTAATTTATTAATTTATATGCAGTATATTATTTAAATGGACTAATTTTCTAACACAATCTTTTACCATTTGAAGTTACTATACTGTGGAGTGGTAATGGATATTTTTATCATCTCATATGTTTTGCTGTCTTTAGTCTTCTTTGTGAATTTAAAAGTCCAATTATTCAAATAATTACTATTGGTTTTTGTACAGCAGGCTTATGCAAAGTATTTTATCTGATCTAAATTTTAGAAGATGTCTACTCGGTTGGTTTTCGGCACCTCTCATTTGGACTCCATAGGCAGGATCCTAACTCAAACAAATACTGCATCTTTCCCCTTCTTAGAGAACAGTATTTGATATTTAAAAGAAAATTGAGCATAAGTTAAAACACAATCAACCTTATTTCCTAAGTAAAGATTCAGACATTATTAGCTTTTTGTATATTTTGATCCTAACACTAGCAATGGTAATATAGCCGCAGTGCAGGTATAAGTAGCCCTCGTTTGAGCGCTACCTGGTAAGATCTGGAGGTGAGACTGATTTAGTCGTTTAGATGCTAAAGTTTTTCAGATCCCTGAAGGGGCAGGGAATGGCACAGACAGTGGCCGAGGGTGGAGGTACACAGATAGGTTAGGTGACGCTGAGACAGTTTCCCAGCAGCTCGTGTGTGTGCGCCTGTGAACACGGAGCTGCAGGAGTTTTACATAAATTCTCTCATTAAGGAGCCCAACCTAGTATTAAAACACATCACAAAGCTACTTTAATTTAAAGACACATTGTTGTTGTAAAAAATAGACCTATCAATGAAATAGGGGGCTGAGGATATAGCTCAGAGGCACAAGCACCCGTCCAGCAAGTGCAAGGTCCTGAATTCGATTCCTAGTACCAAAATAAAAATACAATAGGCTATGTGCTAGAATTACTTGTTTGAACTTAGGCTAGCTCTAATAGTGTGTTACATGTTATAAAAAAATAAAATCAATAATGAAAGAAGAGGACTTTAATCTGAGACAACTATTTTAGGGAAACATTGTTTCAGATTATCTCTTCATGTCGTATACCAAAATAAATTACACAAAAGAAAAATTATGTAAAAAGTAAAATGCTAGGACAAAATATAAGCCTCTTTTTACTAATTCAATAAGAAAGGACAGCTTGATTTTAAATGCATCAGTAGAAATCAGACATTGGCAATGCATTTAACTCTGTGGAAAGGTGAATGTTCAGTACAAACCCACAGCTGAGAGGCAAAGGAGTGAGCTCCTTGGAGACCCCAGCGGAGCCCTCCCTGAGGATCATTCTTCCTGAAACGCGGGCTTCTCCTTGTCATGTCAGCAAAGCTGCTCTCCAAGTGGGAGGAGACGGAGGGTTTTATTTTTGTCTGTTTTTTTTTTTTTTTTTTTTTTTTTTGTCTGTCTGTCTGTTTTATTTTTGTGGGGAAACCCCTCTGGCTGTTTTTTATTTTTATTCGAGATACAGCTCTACATCCATTTACAATCCCAAACTCCTGGTGCTAATACAGAATGTGCAAAAGAATGTAGTAAATCTGCGATATGCCTGTTTAGTACTAACATAATGACTAAAATATTTTTATAAAAGTCAAATTTGAAATGTTAAATTTGCTAAACATAATGCCTCATAGAGCGCTGAAATAAAAAAATTTGAAAGATATATGCAAACCATTCAATTTCAAGGCAGTGACGGATTAGAAATGTCCTGAGATTTTTGTATTCTCATCACAAAATCATATTAAATACATAAAGATGTATATATGTTAATTAGCTGATTCAGCCATGCCATAATAAATATGTATTTAACAGCATTAAATAATTTTCCATAAAAGTATACAATCGCTTATTCATCAGTTTTTAAAAATAAAAGCATAAGTATGAGTAGAAAGAAAGAGTTACTCTTGTGAACTTTCAGTCACAGAGCTTTGATCTTAAGCTAAGAAATCCCATATGCAATTTCCCGAACAGCATGCCCTGTTATTCCCCAGGATAATTTCATATGGGGAACAAACAGCAGGATAGCAGCCCTTTGGAAATAAGATTCTTTTTTTGCTCAAGAAAACAAGACTCTGTTTAATAAAAAGCAAAGAAAGAAGTGACTCCCAAACATGGATGATTTACTTTAAAAACCTCTGCCTATCAGAGGAATGACTGTCTCCACACGTTTTTTATTTGATACCAGCATGCTCTTTCGTCAGTTACCGCCCTTTTGGTTAGGGCTCTTATTTTTGGATGGGTGATCAATTGTTTCATGTTGATTTTCCCCAGCAAGGTATAGGTTCCCCCAGCTGCAAAAATTATCCCAACTCCGGAGAGGAGTTTCCATAGGCGAAGTCAGGATATGATCTCTGAAATGCAAACAGCCTGGGCTCTGCAGGAGACTTGTCAGGAATCTGAGACAGAGTCTGTGAGAGTGGAAAGTTCCTTTCTGCTATCACTGCAGATCTGACCCAAAAAACATCCACACAGAAATCACTATACCTAGTTTTAGGCAGGACTTCTGTAAATTTATTTAATTCATCAACTTTTCTTCTAGACTAAATTCATATTATTAGCTGTACTGCAATACAAATAAAATCAAAAGCTTAGGGCAACTCATTCCCTGTGTTGGTGCTCTAATTTTAGCATATAGTTTCAAAGCATTTAATCCAAAGTCAGAAATACTGGTGTTATATCCACTAGCAAATACTGATAAAAGCAGATTTCTCTGAATAGATTAGATTTATTCCATGTCATTTATCGAAAAGAATTGGCATTTGAGCAGAGAGAAAAATGTAAGAAACAACTAGACATCTGCTTGCATAGTTAGTATCCTGTCACAGAAGTTAGAAGAAAATAAAACCAAATTATTTGTCAGATTCTGCAGGAACGTGGCCAGCTGCTCCCTCAACTCCCTGAATAATGGTGACAGTTTTGCTCAGGTCTACAGCAAAATTCTCCTCTTTTTGACTTCTGTGTTGTAAATGACCTGAGCAATTGGGTTTAGACAGCTGTGCTCTGTCCAGGCCTCTATCACTCAGCTCGGTGACATCTGTTTTCTCATCTTTTCATCACAAGGTGTGACCAAGGGTATGGGTTACTTTTAAAATTTGTTTTTTAATTATTGCAGTAAAAGACATAGTGGGGTTAGTCCTCCTCAAAATACTTTCCCCAGCGTTAAGTGCGCTTTCCCACGTTCTTGCACCTTCCTGAGGCATTTCCGGAAGTCCTCTTCATGAGGGTCTTGATGCGATTTGATAAAAAAGTGGCAAATGTTGCCACCAAGTACCACCCAAGGGAACACAGGCTTGCAGACCCAATGCTGCATCCCCATGCCATTGTTCTCTGATCCGGTCCTGTGTGACTTCTGGCTTTTCTCCGAAGGTTGAAGTGGCCATGAAGGTAAATATTTTGAACAGAGTTAGGACCTCATGCAGCCACATCTGTGCACCTACAGACACAGATGGAAAAGACTTCCAGAACTGCTAGAGAAAGCAGAAACTGCAGAGGGATAAGAGTGTTCGAAGGGGGAAGCGCAGCGATTTTGAGGAGAATTATTAGCAATGTATCTTTTATTGTAGTAAAATTTTAAACAATTTAAATATCTGCCCATATTTCAGTCACACCTCACATACTATCACCATTATTTGAAGTTTTCTTCACTGACTGTGCAGGGAATCTTCTTTCTGCCTTGCTGACGGCCACTGTAGAACCTGCGTTGACGTGTCTGCAGATTGTCTCTTCTCTCTGTGTGTCTGAGTAAGGGTATCCAGGCAACACGAGTGCACTGACACTTCCCGGATTGATCATATGTTGGTTTTTTTTTTTGTCTTTTTCCTTTTTTATCAGTACCGGGGATCGAACTCACGACTGCCTGCTTACAAGGCAGGTGCTTATGCCGCTGAGCTAAATCCCCAGCCCCCCGGATTGATCATATGTTACAGCTCTTGCAATGCATACGTGATGCCCAGTGTGCAAGCTTACATACCAGTGCTGCGGGAGCTGGTCCAGGGTGCCTGCCACGGCACACATATCACATTTCCCTCATGGTGATAAACTTTCTACACCCTGCGTTCACTACAAGCAATGATGCGACCCTTTTCTTTGCTCTTTGATTCGTTTTTTAAAGGAAAGGTTAGAATTAAAGTTTCAATAGAATAACACGTGATTGAAGGCAAGAGTAAGCAAAGGGAGGCGGAGACACTGGTTAGACGGAAGGGATAAATTGCTTCACTTTTCTGCAGTAGAGAGGCAGGACTGCAGTTCACAACCACCTATTATATATTTTACGAAGATGAACAGAGTTCAAACAAAGAAATGAGAAAGATCTGGAAATGCTAACTATCCTGATTGGATCAGTGTGCAGGTATGGAAATAGCACCGTGAACTCATCCGTGTATAAAATTAAGAGACGTAAGCAATGTGTGATTGCGTCCACAGTACTTTACATAATAAATGTGATCTTACAGTCTGTCTTTCAGCTAGAAAATAACGTTCCTTCCATCTTTGATCTCAGAACATTTTCAGTGAGAAAAGAATTTGACGATGGCCTTCGCAGGAGTTAGTAAACTGGGAAGGAGGTGAAGGTCTGTGGGTAGTGCGGTGGAAGGGGACTCCAGCCGGGCAGCAGGACCAGGGCCTCCCCGCTCTGCTGTGCATAGAGCAGCTTCTCTGTCATCTTTGAATGTGTTCGGGTTCAGCCTGAGATTTCATTTTTAAATGGGGTCTCTTAATAAATGTTTGAAACACACTGATCTACTCCAAGCCTTGAATTCTTAAGAGAATTCAAGAACTCAAAACAAGAAGACTGATCTAAGTTCAGAGACGTGGTGAGGCTCAGGTGACACCCTGGTCTTCTGACATCTGGTCCAGGATTTTTATGCGTAAGTTACATGCGTTGTTTGATTTAAAAAAAAAAAAGGGGGGGGCCCTAACCACATACAGGGGAAATAGCACCGCCACACCGGTGCTGATGTGACTGTCACAGCTGCAGATCAACTTCAAGTCACTCCCTAATTTCCACTGGGCTTATACTATAGAAACATACTAAAGTTTCAGTGTCTGTGCCTAGTATTAGTACTTTTACATTTTATAGGAAGCAACTGTTTGAATTACAAAGGAAACTGAGTGTAATAGAAACTACCCAGAGCTGCAAGGTAGGACACATTTTGAGGACCACTTTGTATCCAAAGAAGCAACCTTATACCTGCTTTGGCCCCACCCCTCACCTTGGAGGACCCAATTCCTAGCTTTTAACAAGGGCAGTCTGTCCCATTTCCAAGCTTTCCTTAGATATGAAAATCTGCGACTTTACTTTCCAAGTGAAGTGTTTATCACCACATCAAACACAGAGTGCACCACTCTCCAGGGTGCACCTGTGTGTGCCACCCGGTGGGACGTCAGGCTTCTCACTGCACATTTCCACTTCATGCCATCACACTTTAATTAAACCACTGTTTACATGCGGTTAGCCCACTCTTTTAATAGGAGACTGAGATTTGGCAAACACGCTGTTGTATAATCACCACCAACACGGATCATCAGCACCCCTAACTTCCTCCACGGCCTTTCAGAGTCACCTACACCCCAACCCCACTGGCTGGCAACTGCCACTCTAGACTCTGTCACTAGGGTTCTGTCACTAGGGTTCCACCTTTGCTCTTTAGAAATCTCGAGCTTGTTTATGTTCATATATTTGTCTATAATTATGAAAGTTAAATAATATGCACTGAGCCAAATCTGATGCTTGACTTACATAAGCTACTTGTTAATTTTAATGTCTGCATTTTGCAGGCACCCTTGTCTTTGTTTTATACCTGAGGAGACCGAGACTCAGCAAGAGGCAGTTTGTCAGGTCACACTACCCGGTCAGTGATGGAACCCAGCCCTCAGGTAGGACTGCATGACGCCGGCCTGGTCTGTGCTGCCTCTGTGACTACTGCGGGGAGACAGTAAGTGTCCGCTGCGTGAGCCTGTGCTACTTGGGCTTTCTGTTACATGCAGCCTTAGCGCACCCTTGATTCTTGGGTTCTCCTTTTCAGATCGTTTTCTTCTAAATTCTAAATCAAAGCCATGGAGCCATCGTAATCTAATTCATAAGATTCTTTTGTCAAACCCAGATGGTGGCCAGAGGTCAAAGGCATTCTCAAATCTGTACTTCTAAAATCTTCATCCCGTCCAGATTTCAATTAGTTTCAGACCCAGAGGTCCTGGATGGTACTACTGGAGACTCTGGAAACTGGAAAGCTTGACATTTGTATTGATTTCAAATTCACCAGATTTTTATTCACTCTTCAACTCAACTTTTGCTATGTATAATTTTTATACTGCTTAGTACTGACTGTAGTATCCACATTAAAAGTCGATTTTATGGCTAGGCATGGTGGCACACACCTATCATCCCAACACTTGGGAGGCTGAGACAGAAAGACCACAAGTCGGAGTCTCATCTGGTGACTTCCTGAGGCTCTATCTCAAAGTTCAAACAGAACAGGGCACAGTTCAGTAGGAGACGTGGTGCACTCCTCTCGTTCTGCAGGAAAAGCCCATTTTGTGATTCTCACACTCACAGAAGCAGTTTTGCTTTAGTGAATCTAGCTGGGATGCATAAACATGGCAATCTTCTTCACGCTCTCAGATGCATGAGCAAAGGCAAGACTCTGTTCAGTCCCTGCAGCCACCATTTAGATGTGACACAACTACTGGGCCATCTTTTCAATTTTAAGTCTTTGACATAAGAAAAATAATGTCTTCTATGGGGAAAAAACACTAGAACAACATATAAATCACACGAATTCTTATGTGGTGAAAACCTAAAGCCTACATTTTAAAACACAGCATTTTTCATGTGTAATTTTATGTTAAACAATCTGAGGAAAGTGCATAAATATTTACTTCATAATGCAATCTGCACATATTTCTATGTAAGCAGTGGTAGAATGTAATGAAAACATCCAGTTATTACATGATTAGTACACACGCTAGCTACTGGAGTGAGTACTTTTCAAAACTAAGGGAAAATGTTAGATTTTAAGTGGTGGAACCACCAACATAGGAAGACAAAATAATGTTCCATGCCACTATGAGAGGATCACATTATCTTGTAGAAATGTAAAGGCAGTTAAGGTGTACACGTTTCAGAGGAAAGTTCTCTTCCTCCTCTTTCAACATCAAAAGCACTGTGGTTTTTAGGTTCAGTGGCTTTGTTTTCAGCCTATGGAATTTCTGACACTTGGGTCTTAATCTGCTCTCCCTTTCTGACTGCTTAAGCCTAAGACATACTTACATAGCCTGTACAGCAAGCGGCTGAAATCCAGGGCCTACCATCTAGGTGCTGACATCATGTTGGAGGCATCTTTTCTTCTTAATCTTGTTTCCTTCTCACTTTGAAATTATTTTAAACTCTTCATATTTTAAAAGGTAGGTGTTCCCTATTCATTCTGAAATCACTTTTGGAACAGCACAAATTCTTTGTTCATTTACTAGTAATGATCCCGACATAGGGTGTATGGAGTTACCCACAGAAGACAGGAAAAAGGATAAAAGTACTGGAATGGCACGGAAAGGGTCATTATACTGTCCTCTCAGTTCTATCAGATCAACAATTAAAGGATGTTACAGTTAATCAGATTTGTTGTTTTCATAATATTTATACAGATCTTGAATGTCAAATGAATAAATTCTGTTTAACCCAGAAGGAAACAAGAAGCCGGGAAGCAGACAATTCCAAAGAAGCTCGGAACTGGAGAAATCTGGGCTTCAGCACTATTCCCAGCCCCACCTTCCGACTAACGTGTCAGTAGTTCATCAATATGCGGGAAGACGATCAGTCCTGTTATTTTAAAAGTGTAGATAAACTTAAATATAACCATAGTGATGTGTTTTGGTTGGTTCTGTTTCTTATCACAAATGAACTCAAACTAGGAAAAAAATACATCTGCTATAATATTTGTGTGGATATACGAATCTTTATGACAATATTTTAAATAGAATAAAATAATAATATTTTAAATAGAATAAAATAACAATGCCTTAATGCTGAGACAGTTTTCGCTGAGCACAGAAGGAAAGAGAAAACACTTCTTCCTTTTAGAATTCTTTCCTTTTTTTAGATCCCTAAGTACTTTAATACTTTTACTCCAAGTCTTTCAATTTTAGGTGAAAACTTTCTTACTTTAGACAGTTTAACTGGGAAAGTTCTTATTTATACCTCTTCTAAATCAACTATTATATGTTAATAAAGTTTTTGTTTCTTTTTCATTTTTATAGAACTGAGTATGAAACCCAGGCCTTTTCACTGAGCTACATCCCCAGCCATTTTTCTGTTTCAGTTTCTTCATTTTGAGATAATTTCACTAAGTACCTTAAATTATCCGGGCTGGGCATGAATTTAAGGTCCTCCTATATCAACCTCCAAGAGTGATATAATTATATGTAAGACACCACACCTGGATGTTAATTGCTTTTTAAGTACCTTCCTTTAATTCAACAGGCTTCTTAATTTCAACAATCAATTATGCATTTGCTCTAAACACGATCAATTTCCATAACTTTCTGGGCATGGTGGCTCATGCCTGTAATTCCAGCATTTGAGAGGCTGAGGCAGAAAGATTGCTGGGAGTTCAAGGCCAGCCTGCACGGCATAGAGAGATCCTGTCTCAAAAAAAAAAAAAGAATAGTAAACAGAGTGAAGCCTTTTCCCCAAATGCACAAGATTGTTTCTCTGCGAGACAAATTAAGGACACAAGAAGGAGGGAGGAAGCGACCCTTTGAATACTACGCTATCTATTTTCATAAACTGCAGTATACGTTATCTAGGCATAGACCATATTCAAGGGTTTTGATTAAAATACATGAAAAAATTTGGGTACAAATTAAAATTCATTAACATCCTACTTCTCTATGTTTCAGGAACTATATTGAATATATTTTTAATTATCTCACTTATTCCTCAAAACCAACTTGTAAGTATTATTTCTACCACCTCCACTAAGAGACAGAAAAATCGAACCTTACAGAGAAAAAGCTGTTTGCCCAGATTCTGCCTGGTTGGTCACAATGCGGACGCCAAGCCTCATATTGCTGTCTGGGCTGCAGTGCTGTCCACCTAGCTATTCTGGGCCTCGGTGAATCTGAAAGACACACTTGATTGGTTAGATCTGCCCCACTTGTCACCACAGCGCCACTGTGACACTTACCGCAGCCCCGCTAAGGGTAACCCCGCTAAGGGTGTACTCAGCACACAGGTGAGCCTTCCTGCTGCTGGATGTAACACCCGAGGCCAGCATCCTGAGGAGAGGGAGTACTTGGCTGTGATTTCAGGGATTTGGTCCATGCAGGCCGGCTCCAAGGCAGGACATCGCTGCAGAAGCACGTGGGGAAGCAGAGCTGCTGGGTTCTGCCTGCTGGGGAGCACAGCAGAGGAAGCTGCAGAAAGGAAGGGGCGACGGACCAGACACAGACTCCAAGCTCACCCCTCCTCCACCCCCAACAACCAGAACCATGCCCACTGGTTCATTTAGCTAGGGCAGGGGATGTATTACAGATGAAGTCCCACCGTGCACTCTTTTCTTTACCTTTTAAATACTTTCTGATGTAAACTTGCAAATTCATGTGATCCTAAAAATACTGACTCCCCTTCAGGTCCAAGGATAGAGCGTATGTCCTACAATCAGCTGATATCGTATGTTCCTTTCCTTAAGCCACAAGGTTTGGCCCAAAGGTAGGCTTGTGACAAAACATAGAAGCCTCAGTACTTACAGGCACGGACTGGGATGTGGGCTCTTTCTCAGGCTGGCCATGAAAACAGGGGTGTGCCTGGGAGCCACTGGCCCCCAGAAATCTTAAAGATACAGGAAACATCACAGGATGCAGAGCCAGGGGATGGGATGAAACTGAATCCAAAGTGGCTTGTAAGAATCCACCTGTATTTAGGCAAATCAATTCCATGTATTGTTTAACTGATCTGTTAGGTGTAACTCACCTGGTGTAACTCGCCTGAATAGGAAGTCAGGCCTGCTTGGTGGACAGATGTCTTCAAAGGAAAAGAGAGATAAAACACATTCAGATTTTATCAAGGGCTGGCAAAATTACAGTGTTTTGTAAAAGATAAATCTCTAGCTTTTTCTTTCATCTGGTAAAGGACATTTCCATATACCATTCTATTCTCATGACAGTGCTGTCAGATAGGAATTACTTCGGCTTTATGGATAAGAAAGCAGAGGTGATTTTCCCAGGATAATAAATCTGTCAAGCATCTAAGAACAAGGATTTATAATGAAGTTTCCTGAATCAAATCCTTTTTTCATCCCTGCCATCCCAAGCAGAATTGGATTTCTCCTTCCCATAAAATTCAGCGGTGGATCTTAGCCCTGAGCTGGCTTGCAACCGTAGTAACCATGGCAACCATGGCAAGCATGGCAAGCATGGCAGCCCATGTTCTCATCAGCATCCCAGCACAGAGCATAAATGACACTTATGAAAGAAATGCATGCCCAGCTCTGTGTGTCCTACTTTTAATACCAAGTAGCCATTTTAGAGTCTAGCCTGGGGTCACCGAGGTGGACAGTGCCTGGTCTCCTCCACAGCGATGTTTCTCATCAGTGAATTCTTAATGGCCAAAAGGCCTCTTCGATAACATGTGCATTTTTCCAGCCTGGTGCCATTAAATGGAAACATCTCAAATAATAAACAATGTGTAATCAGATAAATTAATCATCACTAATGGATTGCTACTCAAAGAACATACTTTAGCCATTTTAAATAAATAGCATGAATCATAAGATGATTACAGGACATAAAAATGCCACAAACTAAATGCGTGTCTGTAGAGGTGGTGGCTAAGGAAGTCAGCAGGAGGGTAGTATCTCTGATTGGCTGCCTTTAGACACCTGTTAAAACTACTCCCTGGGGCTGTAGGCAGATCTACCCATCATCAGGTACGTGTGCAGGCATTGCTGAAGTGGGACAGAAATATAAACTAAAGCCACAGGCTTGCGGTGGCCCAATCACAGAACTTGCCTACGAATGCTCATTAGACCACACACCTGCAGAAGATAAAACAAAATTAGGATACTTTACATATTAGCTGATGGCAATGGTTTGGGTTTGAAGAAGCCCTCCGAACAGGCTTTGGGGAAGTGTTTGAGTGGCAAAGCCTCTGACTTCCTGGTTGGGTTAATTCACTGAAGATTAGGCTTTATCTGGCCCCCACCTTCTCCCTCTCAGGCTGCTCCCCATCTCTGTTTTCCAGGTGCCACAAGGTGAACAACTCTGCTCCCCCTCACCACAGCAGCAGAACCAGCTAGCTGGCCATGGAAGGAAACCCAGGAAACCAGGAACCAAAATAACCCTCCCTGACTTTGTCGGAAAGTGAACAGGGCTAAGGAGAAAGGTTTGCATGCTTCACACTTCGGGTTGCATGGCCAGTAAAATCTCAAATTCATACTGCAGGATCATACTCTAAATCATTTTTCAGGTTTCACCTGCTTATAAAAATTTGTATTCAGGCCCTATTTTCAGTGCCTCACCCTTCTATCCAAAAATATTTTTAAATAAATAGCATGAATCATAAGATGATCACAGAACATAAAAATGCCCTCAGAGACAAGCTCTCCACTGCCCTTAGTGCTCTTCAAATACTAAGCCAAGAGAAGCCACCTTGGAGCTACAGGGTCAGATCCCCAGGCAAACAAAAGAAAGGCAGCGACAATTCTATTTATTTTAGTGTAATGCCTCAGTCACATTGGCTGACAGCGAGATTTTCACTGACTTTTTAATGAGACAAATATTCCCACACACTTTTATGGCAGCTTACTCTCATGAGAAGACGACATCCACACCCATTCCTGAGCGAGCGCTCCCTGCAGGCCCAGGCTTGGCCCCACCAAACAGGGAAGCCATCAAACCCTGCAGCAAACAGGCTCTGGTCGTCAGGGGGCTGATGTCCACCTCATATGTCAGGCCGAAGATGCTGAGCTAAGTCCTGAAAGCCTCGTTTTATGTGTCACAACAAAATCAGGGCTCTTGCTGGGAAATTCTTCAAGTCATTCTGTATAGTTTGGTGATTTGCTAAATCCATGTCTTTGATGAACTCATGGTGAGGCATTACCCTTGCAAGTACTGCTCTAGGCTTAGGACTCCTGCCTGGTCTGTGACTTATTTTCATTCCCATGCCTTCAGGCTGGGTCCAGAGGCCAGCATCTCTTCTGCAGAGACAGGAGTATGTGCACTGTTTGGACAGACATCAAACAATAAAACTAGGACTCCATCAGTCATAATGGTTCTGTGACATTGATCTGATAATACCTAAAAGGTTGTCAGGACCCATTTGGAGCAACCTTAAAGACCTACTGGGCTTGGAGCAGAAGCTGCTACATGATTTCCCTACTCGCCCGAGGGTGTGCAGGCTCCTCCTGTTCCCTGAAAACCATCTTTCTTCCCTAATGCAGAACAATTTGATTCCAGAGCTCTGGCCCAGAGCACAGCCAATGAGACAGATTTTGAGGGAAGTACCAGCTAAACTATCGCAGAATCTTGGTGGTCCTGCCCCACTTCCATTTGCTTATCTGCCCACTTCTCTCCGTCACCACTGCCACCATCTCCACCCTTGCTGACAGCACCTCTGTTCATGCTCTTCAGTGTCTTCGTAACTGCTTGTCTTTCTTCCAATTCCATCCACTTTTCACCTAGCAAGGGAATTTAAATCAACAATGACAACTGTGTCATGTCAGCTGTCCATGAGGACATCACCTTGGCTTCTCATCTCCCTCAAGATAAGGCAAAAATGCATTTGAATATGGACCATAAATGCATGAAAGGATCAGAG